GGTTGGAGGTTGATGAGTGTTGGAAGGGACATCCCATAGGAGGCTCCTGCCTTGGTGTAGAAGTCTTGGAGAGCCCGAGATGAATCTTGACGTGGAAGTCAAGAAACATGTAAAGGGTAATGTCCCAGCACTGGAGAAGAGCCTGGCTGCAGCTTTTATAGAAGGAGCCGAACCCATTCTCCAGAGCAGGCGGCAGGTGGAGATGATCATCAATTAGTTTGGTGCAGCAGCTGTGGGAGATGGTTAGTGGCAGGAAGGAAAACAGAACTCCCACAGTCTGCCCTGATCTGTTCTCTGTACCAGTAAGTGGCTGCCCTGTCAGCCTTTTGATTTTGTTTCTTGAGAATAAATATTTTGATCATTTTACCTCGAGACTCCTTGTCATCTTCCTGCACTTGAGTTCAACACTTCTGACGGCAGATCCTGATACACTGTTCCACCGGTTTCTCTCTCATTCACACACATGTACTCTGTCTTATACGGCTGACACTGTCTTACTACACTGGCTTGTGCTCCCTCGTTTACAAGAAAGCAAAATAAATAAATAAATGTCTGTTCTTCAACTCAATGTTCAGTAACTCCTACACACTTGAACAGGGGCAAGCTGGGGTTGAAATTCAGCCCGGGAGCTTGCTTTGGAGAGGCGATCGCATGACAGATGCATGTGGAACCAGAATTTTAACACAAATACTTTATTTGCAGCATAAAAAAAAACATATGTTTTTTCAACAGTCAAGCTATTGTTTAGGTTTGTATGTATTCAATGACACAAATAAAAAATACAAATCAGTTTATAAAAGTTTATTAAACAAGGAGCTTATCATAAAAATCAAAGCAAATATTAAGGAACAAAAACAGCCTCCAAAGGTATACAGACCTATAACATCATAGCCTCCACAAAACGTACACTGTCATAACTTACAGCATTAACAAGCACTTGAGCAGAACCTTGGTCTCTGCAACTCTGTCTATAACTGCATCATTGTCAAAAGGCGTCAGAGCCTCTTTCTCTAACATTAGCATAAATGCCTCAAGATGCTCCTGTGTCAGTGTGGTCCTCAGTCTGTTTTTCACTAAGTTTCTCGTTCTCTCACAGCCCACTGGACTTAAAGATAGCAGCAGGAACTTATAGGCTAGTCCAATGAAATGGTAGGCATTAGTCAGTAGGTTGTGTTTGGAGAGTATGTGATAAACACAAATTGCAGTTTTTACAGGAGATGCAGCTGGTGTTTGTTGGTTCCATGTTTTCCCTATTTTCTGTCTCTTCTACAAAAATAAAAAATAAATATGGAAAATTATTAAAATCAGTCTATATCACTCAATGCAATGTGTTTTTCTTCAATCCATCCATCCATTATCTTCCGCTTCTTCCAAAGTCAGATCTCGGGGGGGAAGCAGCTTGAGCAGGGAGGGCCAGACATCTCTTTCCACAGCCACCTCTTCCAGTTCTTCTGGGAGGACTCCAAGGTGTTCCCAGGCCGACTAAGAGACATAGACTCTCCAACGTGTCCTGCGTCTTCCCCATGTTCTCCTCCCAGTCGGACATGCCCAAAGCACCTCCCTAAAGAGTCACCCAGGGAGTATCCTTACCAGATGCTCGAACTACCCCAACTGGCTCCTCTCAACGTGGAAGAGTCGCTGTTCTACTTTGAGTCTCTCCCGGATAACTGAACTTCTCACCCTATCTCTAAGGGAGAGTCCAGCTACCCTGCGGAGGAAACTCATTTCAACCGCCTGCATCCGCATTCTCATTCTTTTGGTCACTACCCAGAGATCGTGACCATAGGTGAGGGTAGGAACACAGACCGATCAGGAGACAGTAAGCTTTGCCTTACAGCTCAGCTCTCTATTCACCACAATGGACCAGTACAGAATCCGCAATACTGCAGATGCTGCACCAATCTGTCTGTCAATCTCATGCTCCATTCTTCCCTCATTCGTGAACAAAATCCTGAGATACTTGAACACCTCCACTTGAGGCAGAACCTTATCCTCGACCTGAAGAGAGCAATCCACCCTTTTCCAGTTGAGGACCATGGTGTCAGATTTGGAGGTGCTGATTCTCATTCTAGCCACTTCACACTCAGCTACAAACCACTCCAGTGAGAGCTGAAGATCACGGCACAATAACACCAACAGGACCACATCATCAGCAAAGAACAGAGATAGAATCCCGAGACTACTGAACTAGAAACCCTCCACCTGCTGGCTGCACTGAGAAATTCTGTCCATAAAAGTTATGAACAGAATCGTTAACAATGGAGAGCCCTGGCGGAGTCCAACTCCCATCTTGAAGGGGTCCAACTTACAAGTAATGCGAACCAAACTCTCACTCCACTTGTATATTAGTGAGGGTAAAGAGCTGGTTCAGTGCTTCACGGCCAGGACAGAACCCGAATTGTAGCTCCTGGATCTGATGTTTGACCAATGATTGGACTCGCTTCTCCAGTACCCCTGAATAGACCTTACCAGGGAGGCTAAGGAGAGTGATGCCTCTATAATTGGAGCACACCCTCCAGTCCCCTTTTTTGAAGAGGGGAACCAACCAATCCTGCCAATCCAGTGGCACTGCCCCCAATGTCCACACAACATTGCAAAGGAATATCAACCAAGACCCACTCACAACATCCAGAGCCTTAAGGAAATCAGGGTGAATCTCATCCACTCTTGGAGCCCTGCCGCCTCAGAGCTTTTTAACTACCTCAGCAACCTCAGCCACAGTTATGGACAGATCAACCCCAAAGTCCCCCGACTCACTTTTCTCAGTGGAAGATGTGCTGGTGGGATTGAGAAGGTCTGAGAAGTATTCCTTCCACCTCCTCATGACATCACTGGTTGAGGTCAACAGCACCCCACCTTCACTGAACACAGTGTTAGTAAAGAGCTGCTTTCCCCTCCTCAGCCGTCTGATGGTTTGCCAGAATCTCCTCGGAGCCAACCCAGGGTCTATAGCCAAGGTCTCACCGAACTCCTCCCACATCCAAGCTTTTGCCTTAGCAATAGCCAAAGCTATAGACTGCTTGGCCCTCCGATACAGCTACCTCCAGAGTCCCACTGGCCAACAAGGCCTGATTGGACTCCTTCTTCAGCTTGACAGCCTCCCTAACCTGGGGTGTCCACCACCGAGATCGTGGATGGCCACTGTGAGAACCACCGACAACCCTATGGCCACAGCTCAAGGTAACTACCTCAACAAAAAAGGCACGGAACATGGTCCACTTGGACTCAATGTCCCCCACCTCAGCTGGGATGCAGTTAAAGCTCTTCCGGAGGTGTGAGTTGAAGATCTCTCTTATGGGTTCTTCTGCCAGGTGTTCTCAACAAACCCTCACTACATGTTTGGGTCTACCGGGTCTGTCCGACATCTTCCTCTGCCAAAGACACCATCTTAGCACCAACATAACTGGTTTGTTCCACTTTCGAGTAAGCTGTTTGGGGGAAGAATCAGTATTGTGTTGCGTGTTTCCTTGACTGATGAAGCCTTCCAGATGGAAGGTGAAACGTTTCAGCAAAAAAAAAAAAGAAACTGTCCACATGACCTTACTGAAAATTGTTGGACTGACAGGCTTCCTTTAATGTTCTGTGAGCCCTGAACACATCCAGAAACACAATCACACTACAGTATGCCAACTCTGGGATGGATGATAGATCCATGTAGCCACTGCTTGCTAACCTGCTGTATTCATGCTGCTCGGTCCTGTTATCACTGTCCCGGCTGACTTTAGTCACGTGACTTTGGCCCCTCCCCCTGAAAATGTCTGCTACTTTAGTGCATTTGGCTGCATCTTGCACTAACTTTTTCCTTTTCTTTTTCCTTAGTTTATCTGCTACACCCATCTCTTTCTCCTTTCTTTTTAGCATGTTTGCTACCCGCGCTCCTTTCTTTCTTTTTGCTTTTTCAAATTGGGAGGGGCTGCTGGCATGTGACGTTTGACTGACACCTGTGGCTGCGAGGGCTGCTGGGCGGGGATGCAGCAGTTTTTAAAAATAATAATAAAAATAAAAAAATCATAATAAAAACATGTACCAATCACCACCAGTCGGTTTGGCCTGGAACTAACCGGCCGTTCGGGAATCCTCCTGAATCTTCTTATGGTTGGCCCACCCTTGCACTTGGATATCTTGAAACAAAAACATTAAGGTTTACTTGTGTCCCATGTTCAATTCCAGACCAGTTCAGAAATGAAAAAAAAAAATTACAACCATTCACTTCAAATTCTTCAGTGGTGGGAACATCGGCAAACCATTTGTTGTTTAGTTTGGGTGTAGGGGGAACCACAGACCCGGGGCCGCGAACATCCTCTGTCCGGCCGTGGAGGAGGAGCAGCTGGGAGCTTCTGGAGAACAGAAGCGAGCGTCAATCTTCCTGAGAGCCTGTAAACCGACACCTGCCTGCCGGCATGCGTTTGTTGGAGGTGTTCCGTCGCTCCTCTTCGGACATGAGGAACAAACTGAAGCAGAACACCAACACTTCCGGTCGGTCTGACATGTCCACCTTTGAAGTTTCTCTGCAGCAACTCAACGATTTACTGACGGACGACAAAGGTTTTTACAGCTGGCCGACCAAACACTACCACGAGGTTTACCCCAGAATCTACATCGGCAATGCGTGAGTCATCTTTATTTATAACATTTGTGTTTTGTCTGTTACCTGTCTCCTTCCTGCAGGTTGATTAATGAAGCCTTTTTTATTTATTCCTCCGTTTAATTATACCAGTCAGTCTTGCATCATCATGCTTAAAGCCAACAGGAATCATTTGTAAAGCTGCACTGGAATATCGAAGACGCAACAGTTTAAATAAAACATGCTTTGGTGCTTTGTAATTTAATTGGAAAAAAAATTGCTATTAAATATCATAAAAATGCATCAGACAGAGCTGTTTATTTTTTAAAGGTGTGGGTCTGTTTCATGATGCAGCTGTAAACTGCTCAACATGTCCTCTGGATGCTCTCTGTCTCCTACTGAGCTGTGCTTTCAGACTCATGTTGAGAACACGGTGCAGGAGACACCTACCCCCCC